ATATTATACAGTTTTGCTTAGTCACAAACCAGAACAAATACTTTCAGATTTATGACATCCTTCTATTCAGAGACTTAAGTGATCGTAGCTAATAACGCTGCCATTCCACAGCCCAAGGAAAAGCTTTATAATTCTTTGGGACTGAGGATTCCTGAGAGACAGGTTATTTTCAAGGGTTTAAGGTTTTAAAGCTCTCAATGAAGCTTGAAATTCATCTTTTCCAGTTCACATGAAAAGTTTCCTCTGAAGCTTGGCCGGGAGGTGGAAAGAGGAAAACCAGTTGGCACATACCGTCTCCCTGTGCTCTTAGAGAAGGCAGCAATCACACACCAGCTTCGCGAATCCTTACTTTGTCTTACAAATAAACAAAAAACCAAAAACCATACCGTTGGCTCTCATGGTCTTAATGTTGTTAATGCTATATTTGGGGCCTCTCATTTGTCCATTCATTAAAAGGCACTAACTGGTTACAAAAACAAGCAAATATTCTTACAAAACATCCTTTCTCATTTATTGCCCCCCACCCCACCACCACACACATGCACACGCAGCATTTGGTACACAATTTGCACACAGTTATTAAGCCCCAAGCATCGCCCCTTCCTGGCTAATGAATTCAGGATTAGTTAATGAATATTCAGGGATAGTTAACTCAGTAGCTTGGAGGCCCAGGGTGTAGGGTTGGTACCTCCAGGGCTCTGCTGTTTTTCAAAGAACAGATTCGTCCACATATCCCGCAGTGGGTACTGTGGTCCCTGAGGGCTAGGGGGTGGATGTTTGGATCAGTGTAAACCCATCACCCAAAATGGGCACATCCATGTTTAACCATGATATAGTCGAGCGAGTTCTATTTTTCTAAGAAAGAAAGGATTTGTCATGCCGGAATTTCCACACCATTAAAGAGAATGCCAACGTTAAAGTGGGGTGAGGATGTGTGAGAGCCTGATCTACAGACAATAAGGTAGGAGCTTAGCATGCGGGGTCCTTATAAAGATGAGAATTCCTAGGTCCTACTGCAAACCCACACTGGGTGTGGGTGTCAGATACAAAAATACCCACTTCAAACGAGGTACCCGGGTGATCCACATACACTCTATGGCCTACATACACCAGTCTTAAAGCTCTCCTTATTAAGTCATAAGCAAATGTTTCAAACCAAGATTGAAGGATTAAACCGGTTTCTAGTTGAAGATACTACCACTCTTCGAATTAATTCTTACCAGCTTATTGGCCAGATAAGTTGCTTTAGCGGCACGTTACCAGAAGTCAAAAGCCTTGCGTTTTCATTCTATAGCCCATCACCTATGACACAAGCAAGTTACTTAACCTTTTCAAATCTCACTGACGTGAGTTATGCCATTAGGGATACGTGTGATTATCATTCTGGAACAGCTAACAGAAGGCCATCACATCCATCTGACCTCACTGGATCGTCAGGAACATCCAACATCATGCAGTAAGCGAAAGTTCTGTGCAGATCTCCTGGCACTCCACAAAGGACAAAGGTGAGGCACAATTAGGGTGTGGACATAGTTTTACGTTTTAAAAAAGTCTTATTTATTTTTTTGAGATCAAAATATCTGTTTTGTTACCCATAAAATCTAGGCTGGAGGACTTGATTTGGGAATACAGAAGCAATGGAATTTCTAATACTGAGTCACAGGACAGCTGACCCTGGAACAATGCAGGGTTAGGGGTATTGACTCCTGCACAATGGATAATACTCATGTAAGTTTTGCCTTCCCCGAAACTTTACAAATAGCCGCTGTTGACCGGAAGCCTTGCCAACAACATAAACAGTTGATTAGCACACATTTTGTATGTTATATGTATTATGTACTGTGTTTTTACAATAGAGGAAAGAAAATGTTAGTAAGAAAGTCATAAGGAAGAGACAATACATTACTGTATTTATTGAAGAAAATCTGAAAATAAGAGGACTTGCACAGTTCAAACCCGTGTTGCTCAAGGGTCATCTGTATTGAATTTATCCTCCTCGCCTTGGGCACCACTAAACAAAACTGCAGGCCTCCCCAACCAGGGCAGGGTTTTTCTGCCAAGCTCACACTTGGACCAGACAGACCAGGGCCCAGTACCTTGAAGGCAGGCAGAGTCCAAGAAGCAAGAGGGAGGCAGAGGAGCACAGCTCAACTGTGCTCCCAAATTTACCAGTTAGAGCTCTCCTGAGTAGCAGAGTGTGCGGAGGCAGACAGGGGCCAAGACTAATTACTATCCCTTCATTAGGACACAGTAGGGATCCGTGTGATTATAATACCGAAGCAGCTTGTAGGGAAGCTATTAGCTCTACCCCACATTCCTCGGTTGTTTTTGTTCTTTGAACCCATTGTGTTTAACCATCATGCCTGTGGTCAACAGGAAGTCCTCACATCTTCAGAGAGGGAACCAACCCCCAGCCCAACACCAGCCACTGCTCCATTTATAGATCTTCCTGGTCCCATAAGATTCCGAGATGGGTCAGTCCCGTCCATGATGCTCTTCAAGGCCTTTCTGTAGGCAAGAAGGAAAACATAGATCCTCTTCTATTTCCCAACTCAACTTATTTCCAGCCACATTGGCCAATATAACTTATCAAAGGTTATGCAGTGAATGAAACCCAATGATATCGTAAAGGCACCCCAACAATAAAATGCCAACAATACAAAGTTCCACACTTGAACTCAACCCCCTCAAAATGTCATACACTTAACCCCCTCAGAAAGTTCAAAGTCCAAAATTAAATCTCTTCCAAGTTAAGGTCCAAAGAAATTAAAACAAGAAATTAAAGTCTGAAGTTAAATGATCTCACTCTCAATCAAGGTTAAGTTCAAAGACACTGCATTTCAATTTTTTATTCTCTTTATTCTTGATGTTCTGGATAGGGTTAGGGTTCATTCAGTGGCTGCAGCCTGGGCTGTCTTTCCAGGAAGGGGCCTGAGAGTTTGAATTAATTCCACTCCAAGCCTGATGGGCCTCACCTTATTTTCTTTATTATTATTATTATTATTATTATTATTATTATTATTATTATTATTATATTAATTGTGGTAAAATACACATAACTTAAAATGTACCCCCCTAACCATTTTTAAGAGTACAGTTCAGGCATTAAGTTTCACATTGTTTTGCAACCATCACTACCACCCATCCACAGAACTCTTTTCATCTTGCAAAACTGGAAGTCTATACCCATTAAACTATAATTCCTGTCCTTCTCTCTCCCAGCCCCCGGCAACTACCATTCTACATTCCGTTCTCAGGAGTCTGACTACACTAGGTCCCTCAGATAAGCGGAATCATACAGTATTTGTCTTTTTGTGACTGGCTTATTATTGCACTTAGCAGAACGCCCTCCAACTTCATCCATTTTGCAGCGTCTGTCAGAATTTCCTTCCCTTTTAAGGCTTAATAATATTCCACTGTATGTATAGACCACATTTTGTCTATTCATTTGTCTGTCGGTAGACACTTAAGTTACGCCCGCATTTTGGCTATTGTGAATCGTGTTGCTATGAACCTGGGTGTACGTGCCTCACTTTTAAAAGAGATCTACAAGTTTTAACCACACGGCAGATTATCACAACACTGGCGTCACCCCAACACAATTTTGAACATACCCCAATCCCTAGTTCCAGAGGAGTTCCAGGTGAAATCACATTTCTAAAGCCCAATACGTGGTGTTGCCAAAGAGCTTAAGAAATTCAGAAGATTCTTCTAAGGGAAAAAAGGGTCAATGGCTTTATCTGAAGTGCTCATCCGTCATAGCCCGGTGACCATCGTCTGCATGCAGGTAAATTATGGCACCGCGTTTACCCCATCTAGGGGAGATGAACTAAACTTCTGTGGACAGTCTGCTCTCTCAGAGAGTAGCATTTGAGACATTACTGCCTTAACTGCATTTTCATGGTTCAAAATAAAAACACGATTAAAAAGCATTTCTTCAACAAGGATTTATATCCTGCCTGAGACGCTTAAAATGTGGACACAGTGAATAAAGGCCAATACTTCTGAGTGTGGCGTAACGAACGGGAAGACAGAGTGTTTGATCCATCCTACAGCTTATGCCCAGAACATCGTCTGCCAACTTATGGATTGCCAACTGGAATGATGCAAAATGTCAGACAAACATCTGAGGGAAAGGGATTCCTCCCCCCATAGGAAGCACAATGTGGGGGCCAGGGGGATTAATATAATTAAAACTTTAAGACGCCGTGTAAGACTCGGGAAAATGTGGTTAAGCAACACACTGCTAAGACTTCAAATCTTCATTTTTTATTTCATTTTCAAAGCCCTGTGAGGATAATGAGAAGAATATGGCTTTAAGAACTAAGATTCACCCCGCCAGGCATTAATGGCGTCCAGAAACTATGTGAGCAATCTTAACTCCACATCCCCGAGACGTTTATATCTGTCCAACGTAAAACCAGAGGGGGAAAACATGTTAATTTTCTCAGCCCTTTGATAGCACATATACAAGATCTCTTAGCTCCACAAAAAGCTCCAAATATATTCCCTAGGACTTCGGCTGCCTTAAAATATAGACTTGCATTTGTCTTGGCCACATTAACGAGATCTGTTTGACCAATACATTTATATTTATGATGACTAAGGGCAGATTATGGTTGTTAAAATTTGTCCTTGGGACATGAAAACACTCCTCTGTCATTAATACATTTTGTAATATAAACTATGATGTCAGGTCAACGTAAAGGGTAAAAACGTTCCGAAAGTATGCACACATCATTTTTTAAAGCAATTGAGCCTAATGGAATAACAAAGGTCATCATAACAAACCATTACAGCCTTGGTCTTGGCAACTCTAGCCACAGAAGAATCTCCAAGAAACGATCATCATTCCTCCAATGTTATGGCATCCAGACGACAGGAATGGCTCGCAAATGAGTCATACAGGCTCAGATCCTCGGTAGCTATGTGAGCGCTGGACGATCAATTATTCATGTGTTTACAAAGAGCTTTCCTGGTTGATGTTAACCAGAGCTGCTTGCAAAGAAGAGCTCTCCAGCTGTCCTCGGCCGTCCTGGGCCTCCAACTAAGGAGCCACTTTAATTGCTGGGCGAGTAATCTGGAAGGTGGCCCTCCCCTAGACCAAGGAAATGCAATCTCTCTGAGACTTTATTAGGTGTAAAAATATTTATCAGAAATAATTATGACAACAATACTTTGTTGACAGTACTCCCAGCAAATCCCAAAAAGAGAGTGAGAGAGAAGGTAGACTTGACTTAGGGCCCACAAGATTCCACCAGGACTGGGGTCTGGACTATTGAAGACACAGGTCAGGGTTTGGTAGAGGGTAGAGAGAAGGGAATGCAGGTAAAAAAATCAGGGACTGTGGGCTTAGCAGGGAGGTAGGAGAAAGAGCAGTTTAGAATGTTCTGTGAAGGTAAAGGAACATGCATGAGGACCACCGAGGGTAAACAGATGAGGTTGGTCAACAGCCAAACATGAGTGAACTTGACCTACCCATCAGCCTTGGAAGAATTTGGATGGGAAGTCATTTCTCAGCCCTTTTTTGTTACTTAATACAACCTACAGCCTGTCCGTGAAGACTAATAATGCGATTAAGGCAACTCCTTCTTCTGAGCTAGCTGAAGAGCATGGGACCAGGTGGCCCCACCAGGCCCCTATCAGCGGTGTTTGAGGGACAGCAGGATTATAGTCCAAGCTATGGCCTGGGCTTTTTCTTCTGAAGACAATGCAGCCAGAGCTAACATTGAGATACCTCAGATTTTTAAAAAAATGCAATTTTATTATCCCAATTCCAAAAACATTTGTGGTTCTGAGCCAGATTCTTCCCCTTGCTTGAAATGGGGTAACTTGAGATGCGATCATAACTCACTTGTCCATGTCTATGAACATGGTGGATGCAAACAATGTCTGTTCTTGCTGGTGTGAGGTCATAGTATAAAGTGCATATTTGCATGTGGTCGGGGGCAACAGGAGTCCTGGGGTGATTCTATTCAATGTGATGGGAGGCAAGTCTACCTGCGAGGAGTTGCAGAGGAGAAGTGAAGCCAGCAGACAGAAAGATGGTCCCCCTCCCAGGTACGGGAACCAACCTGGAGTGCTTACATTACGTGGTATTCTGTAAGGCTGGGATTAGATTCTGGGTTACTCCCTCTCACACTAGCCATCCATGAATGCAGGGTTAGAAAATGAGTCCAAAGAAAGGGAACACTTCTCCCTAAGACCCATAACAGGAGAACTGGTCTAAGACACCCTCTCCACACCTCCTTTAACCTTTTAAGCCCCAGTCCCACCCTGCCACGAGGAAGACAAGAGGTAGCATTACCCCAAAAGAGGCCTCCTCCATGTGGCAGAGGCTCCTTTTAACTTCTCCAACCTTCCCATAAATATACCACGATTCCATGCCCCTGGCTGGTGCTCCCGCTAGAGATCAGAGCAGCGTTTCTCAAAAGGGAGTCAGAAATAGAACTTTGAGAGGGGAGGGCGGTGTTAAACACCAATAGAAGTCCTCACTGCAGATCTCCAGCGCTTTCAGCGGGCTGCTGGCCTTTGAAGAGGAGTGAGGCATGCAGGACTTCCCAAAGTGACTGGTCCACGGGGTTCTTTGAGAAACATCCTTTCAGACAAACTTTCAGAATTTCACGGACCAATGGACACTTCGGGAAGTGCAGTGTTAGGGTATGGCACCAACACTCTGATGACACCTACAATGGAGACCTGGTCTGAGAGCCACGCGAGCACCTTTGAGTGACCTCCCATCTCTGCTGTCCGCTATCATGGGTTGTTTTAACGTGTCACACTCTCAGAGTTCTGGAGGGAACCTGCCTGGGGTTCTAGCTTGTCAGCACCAGTGGTGACAGCCTCATAGATGGTTTCACAGAGTCACACTTGGCTAGTCAAGCTCGCCTGGCCTCCACACAAAGTTTAACCAAATTGGCGGCCCTCCCCCAAGTGCATCCTCTTCCTCTGCCCCCCACCCCTGATCACTAAGTGTGGCAGCAGCGGAGGGCTAGTTCCCATTGTTGGACAGCTGCCTCATCTCCAGCAGCCCACCCTGAGTTTTCTCTCCCGTTGTGTGTAGAAGTTGCTGCTTCTACCTCCTGGTTGTGAATTTCTAACTTTTTTCAGCAGAACAGCTGTGAATGTGAGCCCTTATGCAGCCCGTCCAGAGTCCTTTTCAAGATCTCCAGGTCTGGGTTTGCAACTCTCTGCTGTGACTGCAGCATAAAGTCACCACCCAGAATAAAACAGCCACCAGGGGTGGATGTTTTGGCCTGACTTCGAGTGTCTACCACCATCAGCTCTAAGACCTTTGTGAAGGGCTGGGATGGTCTATATCCCTGGTCCTATAGTTCAGGCGGAATTGTGTGCTAATGTTTAGTATCCAAAATAAACGAGACATCAGCCCTGCCTGCCTTTGGCATTAACCAACTCATAAATATAAAATAAACACAAGTAAATGGCTTTTAAATCTCATTGACAGAAAGTTTGGCGGCTAATCTGACATTCTAGAGGTCAATGGAACCTTTCTCTTCAAATAGGATTCTTCCGCACACTCTGAGGAACAGGAGACCCCTCCCAAATGAGGAGGGTGCTGGGGTAACCCCTTCCATTTTAAGATTACTCTGCAGTGCAGAGAATGACTGGGTCTGCATAAAGTGTGGCCTTCTCACACATTGGGTCCCTGGGGAAGTGAGTTACTATTTACAAGGGGTTAGAAATTCATGACTAAAGCTTTCAGCTTGCCACTCATTATAAATACCTAGGAACAGTCCCCAAAGTAACCTTGAGTTTCTCATTGGTCCCTAACTATGGGCTACTCTTAGAAAGCCAATACTCACATGGTTTCTTAAATCCTATGGGCATTCTCCCATGGGTTCCCGAGGTCTCATTAGTAATGCTACTGGCTGAATCTCTTATTTTTGCCGTAATCAATCTGTAGTTGCAGCATCATGTGGATTTACTGGGGAAGAGGATAGGCCGGGTGAGTTGATTATTTTAATTCTTCACCTCACATCAAGAGTGCAGAAAACAAATTGCAATAATTCACCAACCAGAAAACATATACACATGCACCTGTTAACTTGTAACTTGACCTCAGAGCTTAGGCTAGAGTCCCATGATTTCTCACATTTTTCATAAAACCAGTGAAAAATGCACAGCTTTTGGTAAAAAGTGTGGATGCTTGACAGTCCTTCAGAAATGGGTGTTTTCCAAGGGAGGCTGTGTGTGAGTGGACCCATTTGTAAGAGACCCAGCCCTGGTCAGGTAGCAGGATTACTGGCTTTGTCCATTCACTCAGTCAGGTCTCAGAGCCCAACTCGGTGCCAAGGAATTAGTAAGATCTGAAACTAGTCAAAGTCGCTTCCATTTACTAACAATTTTGAAACATTTTTCTCATGATTTAGTCAGCTTCCTCATACATTCAAAGGACAAACTGGCAAGAAAAGTGACACTTCATCAGATTGTAGTTACAGAATTCCATCAATGGAAATATTATTATTATTTTTTTTTTAAATCTGAGCCATCCTGCCACCTGTTGGCAGCTCAGTGGCAGCTCAGCTCAGGCCGTGACTCAAACCGGGGACCCTGTTGCTCAGAGCTCAAACTCTTGAGCGAGCTCTTAACCACCTGAGCCACTCAGCCGGGCTGGAAATATTAGATACTGGTTTTTAAACAAACTCACTTACGTTTTCCTTTGCTCCCGTGAAAGGTCTTCAGTGGTTTCTTCTAAATCACAGTCACGTTTCTTCTCATCCATGGACTTCAGAACTTTTTCACCATGAACTTGAAGGGGAGCACTCAGTTATGAGTTGATGGGACCAGCAAGGATCCAGGAGGACTCTGTGACATACAGCCACCTTCCTGAATGCTTTTAAAAAATCAGATGACTAACGCAGAGAAGCAGAAAATACCTGGAGGGCACCCAGCTTCCTTAAACACACACACACACACACACACACACACACACACACACACACACACACACCTTCCAGGATAAAAAAGCAAAAACCCATCCACCAGGTATTCTTTCAATCTTTTCAAAAGCTGGGCTGAGCTCCCAATCAACGCCACTAGATGGCATCACCTCCTTTCAAGAAGCTCCTTTTTTGCTTCTGCATGAAGAGGGCATCATCATTCCCCCCCACGACCACTCTCACCCCACCTTCCCCCCGCGACATTCAACAGCATCTCAGACACCAAACTCGGGGTGTTCCCCTCTCTGGTGCTACTACTGTTCACTCATATATTGGGAGAAGTTTGGGATCACAAATGGGATACATATGATATTTTGTTCCATGGCAAAGAAGTTTTTGTTGGTCTTGCTTTTTTCACACGTTCCATGTCAGAGTCTGACAGCAACAATGCTCTCAGGAGTTGGTCTTCCCGCCTCACATTTCTGCTGTCCCACAGCCCAAAGGTGCTGCGTGCTATGAAGGATTCATCAGATCCTCATGGACACTGTCTGAGGAGCAATAGTGACAGATTTAAGGTGAGGTATGGTTCTTAAGGGTTTCCTGAAGGTCAAGTCAAGCTCTACATGCCTTTTCAAAAGCTAGCCTGGGGCTTGAGGAGAAAAATGAAGTGGCCTTCCAGCCTTAGTTAGAGACCTATTTAATTTCCATTGCATGCCCCGTGCATGAGGTGATAAAACCTTCCAGAACTTTCCCCTCACTCGCCCACTGTTCCTCTTTCTCTACTCTCCTCTTTCCCTTAAGGAGTGGTAGTGAGATGATGGAGGTTAGCACTCTAGGTAGGTGAATGAAGAAGGAGAAAGAATTATTCCACCATCAGAGTTAAACAGGGAGTTTTCAGAATCTTGCCATTTAAGTGATTTCCTGAGGTCCTACTAAGTTATTAAGACTGTATTGGCTTTGAGCACCAGGACCCTGGAAGCACTGAGATACAAAGAAGTTAAAAAAAACAACAAACTTGGCAATCACAGATCTAAAGAAAATGCTGAGGTTCCAAAACACCATACTTTGAGTGTTGGCACTTTTGAGGACGTTTTTAAAAGGCATCTGATGATTCCTATTACTGGTCTAGCAGGTACACGGGGTCTCCCACTTTGTCCCTGGGTTTTCTAGAACAAAATACTGTCCAAAGAGAGGTGATTTTCCGTATGATTTTTATTCAGAAGGATCACACAGGTGACAACTGCGGTAGAAGAGGAAGACCATGATGAGTCCAGCCAAACAGAAGCAAGAGCTCAAACAGCATGTGGTTTTTGTCTTGACTGAGGTGAGAATCCACCCGGCACAGGACCGCTGTGTTGCCCAGCTCCAGAGGGCATCATTCCCATCAAAGTCCAACAGAACAGCGCCTCCTAGCGAACACACGACAGAAGTGTAACCAGTGGCCATATCCCCACATCGCTCCATGAAACATTCCCTGTTTCAAGAGATTGGGTACTTGATATATTTAGACATAGGCTGTCACCTTCCTTTCCCCAGACATCACTCCTTCTGACGCTTCCATGCCTGTCACCAGAACCACGATCCTGCCACTCCCTCGGGCGTAGAGCCCTGGAGTCATCCTTTACACCTCGCCCCTGGCTTTCCATAGCCTGTCCGTGGTTGCCAAGTCCTGAGGGTCCTGAGGTCCACATCATTTGAATTTGCTCCCTTTTTTTCCCCCACGATCACAAGCATGCTTTGTGCATGCTTAGATTATGGTAATGACTTGTCGCTTCCTCATTCTCCCTCCACCTCCCTTTCAATTCATTGCTGACACTACACTATGTTACTTTCTGAATCTTGCTCTGGCCCGATCATTCCTAGGCTCAGAAACTTTCAATGGCTCCCCAGTGCCTCAGGAAAAACATTCCAACTCTTCAGTCTAGCGTGCAAGGACCCCCACCTGGCCCCAGCCAGCTTTTTCAAACCTGTCACCCTCTGCCCCTCATATGCACCGATGCAGCGCCACATTGGGCTCCCCAATGTCCTTTCCTCTTTGCATTTTATTGGCTCAGTGATTTCTCTGATATTCCTGTGGAATGCCCTTCCTCCAGTTCCCTGTGCGTTAGAATTCTGCCTTTTCCTCAGGGCCCGACTCAAATGCCACATCTTTTAGGACGGAAGCGCGGCACCCCTCAATTTTCTCCTCCTGCCCCTTGGACATGCACTTGCCTTGTCCTGGAGAGTCAGGGCACAGGGCTATCTGTTCTACAAGACAGGGAGTCCCTGGAGAGCAGAAGCTGTATCTAACGCCTTTGGACTGCTCCCACCCGACGCTGGGTCCCTTCCTCCAGTGACCCATAATCATGTGTGGAAAGAAGGAATGTGTTGGTGAGTAAAATCCTCTATTAGCAGCAGTATGAACACCTTTGTCAGGCAGAAAACACAAGCGGCCTGAGGAAGAGGGAGCAGATATGTGGGAATCACATGGCAAGAGTCTTCCCCTCCCCCTTCCAACAGGAGAAAGTTTCCTTTCAGTTTCTCATTTCAGCTAACTCAAATTTTACATCATTTTTATACTTAATAGAAAGCATGAATGCCATTCTACTGTGCTTAAAAAAAAAACAAAAAAAACGGTTGCAACAATTTGGTCCTAATTTTGTTCTTCAAATCAGAAATGGCTAATGGGAAAACAGAGGGGGTGCAATCTAGAGCTTCCTGGAGACCCTCAGCTGGTCCCCAGACTGCGGGCACCATGTGGGTTGACAGCACTCCGTGGTGTTCGTTGCTATATTCCTACAACCTGGTACTGTGCCTGGTATACTGCAGCCATTCAAACAAATGTTGGTTGAACAAACACATAAATAAATCAATGAGTGGAGGAAAGCCATGAGCTGCTGACCCAGGCTGCCCTGCCTTGACAAGAGTATCCATTTGCTCCAATGTCAGCTCTCTGCAATGACCTTGGGCCCTGGGAACCCAGACACCTCCCTTAACCTGTCTCTCCTCTGTTGGAGTGCAATACCAGGGACATTTGGGGATCTGTGTCTGTCAGAGGGTGGCCTTTTCAGGAGGAGGGATGGATTAGCTACTTTTATGATTTTGGATTTCTCCTAGCTGCCAAGCTCTGCAGCCTGAGGCTCTGATGATTCCAGGGAGGGCAGTGAGAATCGGAGTTCTATGTGTCGCAGACTGACAGTTTATAAAGAACATTACACATATTCTCTTAATCCTTACAGCAAGCCTCTCTGGGAATTTGTACTGTACCCACTTTATAGGTGGGTCTCAGAGGAGTAACCGCCTTGCCCAGGATCCCAGGCTGGGGTTGGAACCCAGGTCTCGCTGACTCCATAGCCTAGGCTCTTCCCACCAAGGATGTGACCCCTGGTCATCTGTAGACTTCCTGAGTATACACCTGAGAAGAATTGAGGCAGTTAATATTTACTCTTCTACACAAAGGCGTGGCCACTCACGGGTTTCACCTGCCCCTGTCCATTACCCACTCACACCCCCACCAGGTCACTTAGTCCTGGGGGACCCAAAGGAAACCCTTTAAACTGTGCAGGGTGGTGTGAGAGGCATGATTTGTACACGGGCAGCCTTGGTCACCTGGTTTGCAGGTGGCAGTCCATTTTGCTGTTTAGGAATAAAAGTGGGAAGCTATGGGAATGGAGAGGTGACTTTCAGGTGACTCAGCCTGCCAGGGCTTCACTTTGGTGCTGGCCTGCCAGGCCAGGCCTCTCCAATTCTTGCTTCACCGCCAGCTCCTGCTAAAAGCGCCCCGACAGGGCTGTGGGAAGACTCCATAAATGAGATCAGCAGCGCCCCCTTGTGGGGATGAGGAGTTAAAGTACCAGGTTATGAATTCATGTGCACACCAAGCTTTTGTTCAACAGACTGAAAACAGTATTGTCTCATACATGAATCTATGATTTTTTTTCCAAACAGATATGTATGTTGGGATTAATAAATTACAAACTCTCTTTAACTTAGAGGTCTCCATACTTCAAGGGTGTAATGAGTGGACACCCTGTTACCTGTAAAGCGCTGTGCACCCGTGAAGGCTGCTCATCACTTACTCTGCCTGGTTTACTCATTAACTGGTCAGTGACTCAGCTATGACTAGAGAGGTTCTCTGGTCACTGCTGGGTCCCCACTCAGGGGCACAAGCCACTTCTGAGGCTCACTAGTTACTACCTCTAGGGTCAGGTTAAGATCTAACTAAACAGGGCCGGCCGAATGGTTCAGTTGGTTAAGAGCTCACTCAAGAGTGCTAGCTCTGAGCAACAGAGTTTCAATGCTCTACCTGAGTTGAGCTGCCACTGAGCTGCCAACAGGTAGCAGGATGGCTCAGCTAAAAAAAAAAAGACCTAAACATAACTGTGGAAATCCAAGGAGAGAAGATTGTTGCAGGCTGAGCAGGTTGGGGCTGGGTTGCATTTAATGCAGCCTCAGAGAATGCAAAGAAGTGTCTCCAGGCTTCTATTTCTCCCAGGTGTCAAGTTCATAAACTAAGACTATCAATGACCATAGCCTACATGGCCATGGTGTATGGTATTTTATCTATTTTTAAATAAATCATATTTATTGCCTTACTCTGATCAACCAGGAGAGGTATTATTCCAGCTTTTGTAAATAAAATGACGGAGACTGTAAGAAGCTAAGTGACTTGTCGATGTCACACAACAAGCAGGTGATGAGCTAGATTGGGGTAGCATGCGTTACCACCACTATATCCTTCCTCCATTAGCTCAGCACAGCGCAACCTAACACACGGGGCCAGTGGCAATCGTCCTTATTGTCACAGTATTTATGCATCCAACAAAAGTCTTGCATTCACACAGCAGACGTGCTTTGTTCTTTCTATTGGGTTGTCGGAAAAGTCATGACACATGTTTGTGACAGATGGCACTAGTTCATTTTTGGAAGTACTAGAGTCATTCACATCTATGTTATTGCTATGT